GATGCTTGTCCTTTGTAGTTGATGATAAGCACGCTTGCATGTAAATGTGTGAAATGAATGGCGTATTTCAAATACCTCCTATTGGTAAACTGCCATTAAACCCAGCCCCTGAATGTCAAAGGGCTTTACAGGAGACAGAGAAACAGTATTTACCAATCGCTTTACCTTGAGGGCAACATTTTGTAGTAACATTTCCGTCTAACCGACAATGCAATAAATTACTCGCTGTTACAGTACTACATGTATAGTTCACGGTAAGAAACCGGCGTTTCGAAAGTCTGTCTAACATGATTTTTATTTACCACCACTTTTGTCGCTTGACTAGATCTGCTTTCGAGGGCTTTGTTATTTTTGTACAAATTTACATACGAATTTCAATAAACTTGTACACCATAATAAAGCTTTATTGCTTTGTTCGCGCTTCGCCGCAGTTGAAATCGAAGACTCTACTGTGGTTTTCTCTCAGGAAGCCTGTCATTCGACAATATTCGCGCTTGTTAAAAATAATTCCGGATGTTACAAAGAGAAAGAGAGAAATTTTAGAAATAGGTCAAAAATAATCTGAGAACTTGCAGCGACTTAGTCAAAGCACGTGTTTTCGTTGGTGTCGGTAACATTTCTCGTTTAATTAATATCTCGAGGCGAAGATCTCCGCGTACACAATACATCATATAGTTGTTCGTGTGTCTCTAAAGATAATAGGGCACATGCAATTCGATCCTTGTTAACACGATATGTAAATGTTCTTAGCCATGACACTCATTAAAACTGTCTGACTACAAGTATGTCAATGTCCTATTGGCTACAAGTATGTCGACAAACGCTTTCCATTATCATTATTTGTTATTTGGGCTGGTGTAAGTGATTCATGCCCAGATCGCAAGACGGAGGCTACGGCATCTTGGATATTTTTTTACACGCCAATCTTAGCGTTAAACTCGTGAAACACATTTTATATTTTGTTGTTCTCGCATTAAATGTTGTTTGCAACCTTAATACTGATGTGGTATGTCCAGATGTATAAATACTGAAAATAAATTATGGCTCAGACTAGTTTGAAAGTTTTTGGACGTCAGATGTTACGTTTACAAAATAGCAGAATCCACATAAAGGGTTCTGAGAAATTATGTTCTACCTCCTCAGTGCGACCTGAAATTTTGCAGCTTTTATGTACTTTTTTTTCCTTCCTACTTAGTTCCTTGCAGTATTTTAAACATATCAATTGTTGAATCTAGGAAACAATTGCTCTTCTTAACTCACTTGTCAGAATGCAAAATTTCATTTCTACTTCTGAGAGTATAAAAGAGTTCTCAAGTTTTGGTTTATGTCATTTTTTCCCATGGTGTTTGAATGTTTCCTTTTTTACAATTTTTTCCATATTTTGAAGCTCTAGTTTTTGCATTTTAGAGGATAATAAAAAAAAAACAAACAAACAATGCCAGCTTGAGTGTTGATTAGGGATTAGACCAAAAAATGCCACTATACCACTGCAACTGGATCTTGGTTTACTGTGGAATATAATACTACAGAATAAATGTCAAGTTTTACATGTCAGGTCTTGGAATATAAACATACATCTTAAATTGTTTATGTCAACTTCAACTGCGGTGAATTGTTTATGTCTCTGTCTCTGTATTGATGTAGCTCTATTAAAGTGGGTGTGTTAACTACATGTAATTTCTGTTTTGATAAGATTGATTCTTGTCAGAAAAAGTGCAGCTATAGACAGAGAATTTATCCTATGTGAGTTCAAGTGCTTACGCAAAAAGGATTACTATCACACGTAAAGCCCTGTCTGTATATTTGCAAAATTGTCTAGACTTCTAGGTCTATTGTTTAGCCTCTTGCACCCAGGTCTTGTGGATGTTGCTTTTCTTTCTTTTTTTCTTGTAGGAAGATTAACATGTGGTAAGTTAAGAAATAGAAATTACAGAAATTTAAGACTTTTTTTGTGCACTCAGTTGTGTTTCTTTCTTCTTCTTGGCGAACTACCCACACTTTAAATTTTTCTTTGCAACTCATGACCATCTTCCCCATGAGGATAAGTCTGCATATTTTAACTTTAATATGGTTTGAGAGTCCCTTGTGAGACAGAAAAATTTAGAATAGCCTGCCACCTGGGTCTCATTACCAGATTACATCTAGTTTTCATATCAGTAATGACAAAAATGTAATTTCTGAAGCAAAAATTGCACAGACATCAGAACTTAACAGGATTATCAATGTAAGGTGAAGTTATTATAGTAAAATAATATTGGATTATTTAAAAAGAACAGTCCACCCCAAGTGAAAGAGAAACATCAATAAAAGTTCTGGTTCTGTTTTGCAATCAATAATATGCACAACTGGTTGTGCAAAACTTTTATTCCCAATGATTTGAGGGCTTGACAGCAAGTAACCTTTCCCTGAACAAAGTATTGTAGCAAGAATGAAGAAGACAATTGTATAAACAGAGGGATCATTAGTTTTTATTTATAACATTATCTTACACCCCACTGACACTTGAGAATCTAATGACAATCTCTAATATCTGTAGGCTTATAACCTCTTTCCTGTGTTAATAAACAGTGAATTATTCATAGAAAGAACTTCAAAGTTCATGATTGAATTCAATTCAATTCAGTGAATACATTAGCCAACTAGAATTTGTGACTACTCATGACTGATACCTTTGTGTATAATGAACAACGAAGTCTGTATACCACATAGATAGGGCTTGCAAGATTTCAATCAATGCACATCTCATAAAACTCCAAATCCCCAAACCTTGCAGTACCATAGGGTATTCTAACTGAACAAACTAATTAAAATTTTAAAAAAAAGACACAACTTTTCAGAGGCTTTCCTCAAAATGGTGAATTGTTGTTGAAATCAAACCTGGAAGTTATGCTCAGTAATTGTTATTTGAATGCTCACACTAAGGATTCATTCAAACACTCATAGGTGAAGGACCACTTTAGGCAACATTAAACCATTAACTTCCATGAGTGAGTGAGACAGAATTTCTCTTCATGATATAAAAACAATACCAAGTAGACAAGGTTTTCCAGGACCCATGTGAACACTCACATGGTTGAGAAACAATTCAGAGATATGAAGAACCCACCATGTGCTTTGCATAAATATAAACCAATGCAGTTCAACAATAACTAACAAATTAACAGAAATAATATTAGTAACAATTTGCTTGACTTATGAATGAAAATTAAGCAAAGAATTGATCCTAATATGCGAACTACAATATTAGCAATTACAGACAGGAGCCGAAAAAATTCAGCTTTTGGCAGCTTTTGACCCGCGTCACCCAGATACTAGATGGATGCCACCACCAACTGGGCTTAGGAAGCCACTGGTTAGCAGGGCGGCAAATTTTTGGCGATTCTCTTTCCCACAGAGGAATTTGATAACAACTTGAAATGAATTAAATTTCAGTTGACCTGTGGATAAAAATCAGTTAAAGAAATGATCCTCACAAGTGCACCCCAATTCCTTAACAAACACACATGCCAACAAAGAAAAACAAATTTAGGTGTTCAACCATAAAGCATATGACAAGCAGTCCTATTGACCTAATATCTTGAATTTTGCAGCCTTTGTTTAGCTAGGGAGGTATAACAATTGAATTCTGTTGACACTTTTGACAGAGATCAATAAAGTTTGTACTAATGTAATGCTGACAGTGTCACTGCTAACAAGTTTTGTTTAAATAAGTAGAATTGTGTCTATAAGCAGTGAATAACATCAATAAAAACTGAAAGTTTCCCTTTCACCATATGAAGGGATATAAATGTTCTAGTGATTGAACACCACAAGGATAACTTCATCATCCTGTAAACAAGCAATCTATTGCCACCTATAAGACCTCTCAACTGCAAGCACTCTCTTTAATATCTAGAATGCTTGAAATTATATTTCCAAGCTTATGGATTTCAAAACTCCTTGGGGAGCATAATTTTTTTAAAGCAGTTACATGCATGCAATAGTCACATTATATATAGGATGAGTGTAGGTGATAATTTCAAGTGCAATTTGGTGTTAATAAGCACAAGTTAGTTTTTCAAAGAAGACTTAAACTGCAAAGGCAGTTAGGGGCAAGTGAGATTTGTAGTCTTTGAAATATTTACAACTTACACAAAATTGGATGAGAAATCAAATTTTTGCTTATAAATAGTTTACATGAAAAAAAGCCATCACAGGAAGTCAAGGCAGACAGCATGTCAGTGTTATTTTGCACTTATGTTACATGAAAAAGGCACTTGTTTTTGGCCAATCAGAAGCCCCTAAGTTTTTCATATATAGTAACTATATATAATATATATACTAACTGACCACCAACATGAATGGCTAAAGAAATAGGGGGGTCTCAAGGGAGAGATGGCTCTTATGGCCAACTGTTAAAACTTTGGCCATATTGCAGCTGACAGTTAACATCTTTGCATTGTGATAGTAGGAAAATTTTAACAGTTAACTTTTTCAAACAACTACCCGTCAAAATTTGTTGATGTTTACACCTGGGCATAGTTGTATAGGGGATGGATAACGCTATCCTACATATAAATTGCTATATAGCTGGTAAGTGATCACAAAATGTACTGCACCATCCACTGGATAGCATTATCCATAATGTAATTTGACCTTCGAACAACCAAGGCCTGATGGTCAATCACATCGAGACCCTCTAAATAGGGTAATAAAAAACATCATGTTGAAGTAAACAATATCAAGAAAACCACTAAAATCATAGACCAACTGACATCGCAAAAACCATTTATACTCGTCACTGATGTCTGTGGACTGTTACTAAGGAAATCAAGTCCCATATATATAAAAACTGAGCTGTAACTGGATCAAATCTATCATCACTGCAATTCTCTGAATCTTAGGTCTTCAGCCTTCAAGTAAATTGCATTTCCACTTTTTCTAGATTTCAGGAATAGACCATTCCAATGTCATGTTTCACCTTGGGAATGGAGGTAAGACTGAATATTTGATTTTGTTATCACAAACTGTGTGACTTGGTGATTTTTTTTTTAACCCTTTCTTAGCCTGTATGTAGGCTCTCAAAGGAGCTGCAACAAAAGTGGCTAAGGCATTTTGGGCTGGCATTTAAACTGACCATGTGAAATATATCAATAAGATTAATTAATAATAATGAAGGATTTCAAAAGCGCCATATCCATTAACACTTTTTATAACATAAGCTTACAAAAGAGCATGCTCTGATTGGCTAAAACACTCCATCCATGCCTGTGGGTTGCAATCTGAAATCACTTTGTTTTGCTTTTTTTCTAAATGAAACAAAAGATGTTTAAAAGTCTTGATGTTACTTAAGTAATGGTTAGAACGCAGCATTCAACCATCAAGTTATCAAAAGCACTTGGAAGGTTTGCTTAGCACTCAAAAAACTAGAATGGCACTTCGCTATTACCTTGTGTGACTCTAACACTTCTTTAACATCCTCCTGCATACATCCATAAATCGATGGTTGCATTCTGCACATAAACAATTTCTTAAGTAGACTGCATTGAGCAGTGTTAAACTCTAGTGCTAAACGCCTTACAGTTTCTTGCCACCTCAAGTCTCAGGGGCTTGGCTGCAAGTGCCACAGTAACAATAAGAGCCAGCACACAAGCTAACCTTCTCTGAAATCACTAAAAAAATTAACCTACAACTGAAGTACAACTAAAGCAAGCTAGGTCAGAGAAACTAAAATATGGACATCAGAGAATTACAAAAATTTTTCACCTTTTAAGTGGTGGTACACTAGGAAACTAAGACCATTTAAACTTAATTTGTATCTCATCAAGAAATTATAAATAATGGTAATAGGACCAAGTGGAGTCCAATTCCATCTATAATCATACAAATGATTAACAAAATTGGATGAGCGCAAAGCAGGAGTCCAATTTGTTAATCGTGAGTATGATTACATACAGAATTAGATGACATGAAGTCCTGATACCATTTAATCAAAACTATGACAAAATTTGAGAAAGAAATTAGACATTGGTTGTACATTTTCATAAAAAAAAAACCAACTCTTAACTCGGCAAAATGCAAGACAACAGCGCACGCTCATGATGCATTCTGTCCACTTACATAGGTATGATGTGTTAATTGTCCCTTTAACTGTTCCATTACACTGTCCAATTTCAAGCATGATGCATACACTGTCCTATAAGTGCTCAAATCGAGCTGGTGATAACCAATCACGTTCAAGAATTTTGTCATAGTTTTGATTATGGTCAGAATTTGTGTGAAATGTTTGACTGATCATGCTTAACAATTACACCATCCTGAGAAATCAGATGTTATGTGTAATAAGAAAAGTTCTTTGTTGCTATTTTCTACATTGTGAAATCCTAGGGAGAGTCCCAAACTTCATATACAACCAGATTACCATGCTTAAATAACAAGGAAATTATATTTAATACGGTTTATACAACTCCTGCATTAATGACTAGCAATTCTTATTTCCATCCTGTGAAACAATGATAACTGTGACCTTTTGAAATTAGTCTGTATCATAAGCAAACTTGTTTATAGATCTATACCCACGAATTAAAAAAAAAAGCAAACATTTACCTCGCTTTTTCCAATTTTTTCCTTTTGTAATTTAATTTGAGAATTAAGTTATCAACTTCAAAAACACGTCCTTTTCTGCCAGTCAAAGCTTTTGGTAGTCATTAGCCTGGTCAAAAATAAAGATGTCGCTCTTTCTGTAACATTAATTAAGTGCAATACAGTTGTTTCACACTGTTACAGATTCAAAGGAAAGAAAAATTGCTACTGGATCTGGTTGACGATTTGAACAATCGATTTAAGACTTTCGATCCTTATTCAAAATTGCCCCATCGAAAAAAAAAGCTATTCAATCAACCTTTAATTAAAGAGGGTTCTTTGATTGATCTAACTCACCTCTACTAACAAAGTCGCTTATCAAAGATGGTAAAAATTAGTATACGAATGAAACAAACTGGACCGCACGTGTAAACCTCTCAACATGTTGGATAAAAGACTGTCGTGTTATCATTCGGCTTCGATTTCGTTTGTTCGTACAGTCTAGTGATTGGTCAGTTAAATTTCCGGCCTCTACTCGGGTAATCACGAACTTATACGAAAGTAGAAATACAATCCCAGAGTGCACTGTTCGCTACAATAGGTGAAACTTCGATCGATTTGGCCAGAGATGAGTGTTTATGATAATGACGGTGTCTTGCAACAGAACCTCGAGAGTAATTATGCCAAAGAAAACCAAGATCTACGTATTCAACTTGCCTAAAGGTTGTCGAAGGGGTAAGTGGTACGGAAATTATTGTACTTTGCTTGGAAAAGACATTAGAAAGTGATTTATTTCGTAATTTACAACAACAACGTATTTTAGTATTTCGTGAAGGCTGTTTCAGTGTTTTGTAGTGGTTTCAATTATTTTTTACAGCCAACAATGGAAGAAAATAAAAGATCGATCATAGATCAGACATTTAATGAGAGATATTTAAAATTGCCAAAGGAAAGCCAGCCGGAATCCATAGCTATCAGGAGGCCATCCAGTTATGTTCGAACAATTCGCTGTTTAGTTCGTAAAGCATTTGATTTGTACGTTTTAGATTCATGAGACGATTATTTGCTTGGTATGTTAATCAAAATTTTAGGGAAAACGTTGTACCCAGGCTTCCCCTCCTTTTCAACGAGTACCAGAAATTTATTACCAAAAAGTATGGCATAAAATCAGATCAAAATGAAATACATCTATTTCTTAGTGGCAAACTGTTGCATTTAATACTTAGTGCGCTTAAATATTCGCTCTCTTCTCTGACTGGAAAAGAAAAGTCAGAAAAGAACGACTCTATCCAATCACAAATTGGCACAAGTCCTCTCTAATTGCGTTCTTTGTAAAACCGATTATAGAGCAAAAGCTGCTTACAGGCATTAAAAGTAACGTATCGTAAGTGATGTATTTTAGGTAATGTAAACGGCTAAGAATATACAAAAGTCATATATTTGAACTGCGGATAAAGACGTGAATGAAAGTGATCCTCGCAGTAATGTACACTACTTGAGCAGTAGTGAAAATAAGGCCTGAAAAAAATTTAGGCCTGTACGGGATTTGAACCCATGAAACCATAGGTATTGTTAGCTCAGTTGTTAGCTCGTTTCATATTTTCTTTTCAGGGCATGAGTCCGAGGGAGAGGAAAGCGAACCAGACCTATTCCAATGTGGGAAATGCAAACGAATGTTTACCAGTCTACAGAAATACCTGAAACACAAAGCAGCCAAGGACTGTGTTCAGCTTCAAACTCACGGACAGACAAGTGCGGTCAGCCCTGTTACGAACGGAGAGGTAATGACGGTAGATAGTGGTCCGTTAAGTGTGATCGGGAAAAGCCCGACGATAGATCTGAAAAAAAAAGCCACTCGTTCGTTCGTTTTGCAGTTTGTTTATTTGGTCGCTCGTTCATTTATTTCTTTGTTGTTTGTTCGCTGTTTCATTTGTTCGGTTGTTAAAACGCTCGTTTTTTAGTTAATTTGTTTATTCGTGTGTTCCTTTCTTTCTATTCGCTCTGAGGCCTGGCCAAAGCTCGAAACGTCAGTTTTAGAAACTCTTTACGGCGGCCAAGTTAAACTATCAACTCAGTTGATAAACCAAATTATCTATTTATACCACTACCGACACAATACCACAATTTGTTAAGAAACTTACCCCTTTTTTCCTTCGTTCGTTTGTTCCTTCGCTCGCTTCATTTCTCCCTCGACGTTTGTTTGTTTTATAGCAGTTCGTTCGTTCTTATTTTCGCTCGATCTAGTCACTGTTTCGTATTTATTAATACCTACGTTATTTCCATTATTTTTTTTCTGCAGGTTTTTGACAGTCCTGATGAGAATAGCTCCATTCATAGTCCCACACGAAGGTAATTTAATCTGATAAGATTGTAGATAAAGCGTTCCCTGTTCTACCAAAAATTCCAAGTCATTAAATTTCGGTTTCGCGTTAAGGAAATTTTAAAGATTGTTCAACTATAGGATGTTACTCTTTCTTTATTTGGGTTCCGATGCCATGTAGTTTCTGTCGCTAATTCTAAATCCTTCATCGAAACAGTCTCTTGAAAGAATCGTTCAAGGACTAAAAGACCCTTAAATCTGAAAATCGTTCTTTCAAGTTGTAGTTAAAGAGACCTGATTTACTATTCCATCATAATGCTGTGAGGTGCTAGGGGTCAAGGAAAATTATCAGCGAAAGTGAGTTACCTCACCTTCATGTCACCCCAAACTCTTTTATTAATCGGTTTGGAATTAAATGGAAGCAAGAAAGGAGAATTACTCATCAGATCTACGGATTGAAATGGGTTGAATGTAAACTTAATTATTGTTTACAGGAAACACGATAGAAAAGGGATCGCTCGTCGAGTGTCCAACTTTTCCTCTGAAGGAGAATCTGTGAGTCCGGATATTCCAGTAGTCGTTCCAGAACAAGTTTACAGCGTCCCACCATCATCCTTCCCTGTTCATATAGAAGCCCCTCCCACCTCCAATTTCCACGACTTCTCCAACCCTGTTGTTAGTATCTCTGTTGCCGAAGCTCTACGCTCGCATAGTCCTGTGGTAGTCCAACCTACGCCTAATTTCAACTCTTGGAATGGAACGGTGAGTGAACAGGCCGAAAATGTGAACCCGCCGACCATGGCGACCAGCGTCTATGCGCAGATGCCATCCGCAGCAGTGGTGAACCCCGCACCAGTTCTTTCCCACCAACACCCCAATCAGTCGTCTCCAGCACCCAGTATCGGCTCGTCGCACGTCGACCAACAATGGACTGGGTCGAGGCTGAGAGGACTAACGGCTATTCAACCAGCTGCTTCCCCCCAGGCTCCAGTCCACATGACGAGGAGCAAAAATGGACTGGGACAGCCTCCACCACTTGTGGTGCATCTTAAGGACAGAGGTATGTGTCTTGTATTTAGATATCAAACAAGCTTTCCACCGAAAGCTCTGTCCTTAAGCCATCTAGAAATGGCATCCTTTTATCTTCTTCTCTCTTCTTCATAATTGCGTTACCTTTGTAGCTTATTAAAAAATTCTTACACGGCGCTGCACAGTCAAAATTATTTTCGATTGGCAAAGCAACAGAACAGGGAAATTTTTACTATGGATTATCGAAAGTATTTTACTAAAACCCAGACATTTTGTCATACAAATTTTGGATCAATCCTTTTTGGATCCATGTCAGTATCTGAACAATTGTGCACCTACCCCTCCCCTGACTCAATAACAGTCAAATGATAACAAGGTGGGGTAAATGTTGGGTTAGGGGAGGGGATGGTGTACAGTTATTCACATACTAACGTTGATCCGAATTTCTTAAGGGTGTTTTATATTCCTTTAAAATGTCTCTAGAGTCAAATAAATAAACGGAGCGTCCAGTGAAACTTCTGAGGTATTGCTTAAAAAAGAGTTGAAAGGATTATACGTCTAGAAGTAAAATATAATATTTCCTTACGATTCGCCATTTGTTTTTTGATGTAGGTCGACCCGTGCGTGCAAAGGAAACTGGCCTTACAGAAGAAGAACTTACAGAAGAGTTTGTGACTTCCTCTGGTCAGAAGGTTTACAGATGTAAAAAGTGTGACAAAGAGTTTTCGTTCTCTAGCCGTTTAAAACGCCATCTTCTCGTGCACACGGGTGCGCGGCCGTTCGAGTGTCACGTTTGTTCCCGCCGCTTCACGCAAGCCGTGGATCTAAAACGTCACATGCTACGTCACAGTGGTCAGAAACCGCACGTGTGTCACTTCTGTGGGAAGCAGTACACGAGAGGCGATCGGCTTAAAGTGCACTTGTTGTCGCATACTCAAGAAGATAATTCGGAGAAGCCCTACAGTTGCTCAAGGTGCAGTGCTACTTTCTACGAAGCAGAGGAACTGCGACTGCATGTGTGTGAATTTCAAGAAGGTACACAACTGGTTGGAGGTGATATTGAGCTCAATGACGCTTACGTAGAAGAGCGGGGAGGTAAGGTAGCCCGCACAGGAAAGAATTATTCGTGCGAGGAGTGCAATTCCAGCTTCACCAAGTACACTTCTCTCAAGTCGCACCTTCTTAAGCACACCGGTGAAAAGAAGTACAAGTGTGAGCACTGTAACAAAACTTTCTTCAGCTCTAGTAGTTTAAAAATCCACGTCCGAGTTCACACTGGCGACCGACCGTTTAAGTGCAAGGAGTGCCCGAGGAAATTTAGTGACCCGTCGAACTTCAACAAACATAAACGATGGCACGCCAAACAAAAGGGCCCGAGTACACCGTCGGCAACATTGTCGAGCATCTCCGAGAACAGCTCGCCTTCCGATGATAAGACACAGAAGGAGGCTGCTGATGCCGAAGAAAACGGATCGGGGCCGACCGAAAACGAAGTAACAGCCGAAGAATCTGGTGCGAAAGAGGGTGACGCGAAAGAGGATTTGCGAGAAGATCTTTTCCCTGGGACGAGCCAAGATATGGAAACTGAGGAGACTGGAGGATTTAATTCGCCTGAGGCGTTGCTCAACATGGGATCTGAATGCGAAACTAGTGTAAAACAAGAGCTAACGGACTAGTTAGGCTTTCATGACCCTTAGGAAACTCTCTGAGCAAACGCCATAGTTAAAACTCTTGGATCAATTTCAGTATCTGAGCTACTCTGCACCTTCCCCTCCCCTAACCCTACATTAACCCTCAGTTGTTTTCAGTTGACTATTGCTGGGTTAGGGGAGGGGTAGGTGCGCAGTTGCCTATGTACTGACAATGATTCAGAACATTCTACTTTTTCTTAAAAATGAATCTCCTATTTATATAAATTGGCTTTGCATTCTAAAATGATAATGTAAGCTAGCTTAAAAAGTATATCTAAACATCGCTTAATGAAAGTGTAATACTTCACAGATACAATGCGTTGCTCTCCATTTAACGTTTAAGGAAATATATCGGATTAGGTTTTAGAAAGAATAGATTTAGATTTGAATTTATATACTATATATTATTATTATCGTTCTTATTACAAAAAGAGCAAAATGATAACAGGAGTAGAGGACATGGGATTTTGGTTTAGAATATGAAGCCTCAATTCGATGCACAAGACCCAGTTCTCCAGGTTCGAATCAAAGAATATTGAAGCCATCTCGAAGTCTCTTTTATAGAATACACGTCATTTACATTCCTTCACGTGAGTAGCATTTCGCGTCGTTTACCGTTAGAAGAGCTTACTTTATTAGATCATCGTGGGGGTGATGAAAATATCTATATCGACATGAAGTTATGGAGTGCAACCTTAGATATAACGCTAATTGCTTGGAGCTGAAAAGCAGGGTATAGCGTAAGGAAGTGCGTTCAACCCTTCCCTCCTCTTACTCCCTCTTCTCCCCCCCCCCCCTTTTTCGAGAATAAGAAACGATTTACTATGACTAAACAATCTAACCACCTAACTAGTGTCTGAAGCGGAGAACGATCTTTCCGTTTCCTTTATTTCTTTCTTGGTTTGTTCGTTTGTATTTATAGCTGATGCGTGGCATCTTGGTTGCACTTCATAGCAATAGGCCATTTTACAGGTATGTACTTAGTTGCCAAGCCTTTGATTTTGAGTGAGGCTGAAGATGACATTGTTGTGATAGAGACCAGTATCTAGTTAGCGTAATATCAAAGCAATTTACACTTGAAAAGCAGCAAGGTTTGTATCATAACATGGTCACCCTTAGCCTCACTCCTGTTCAAAGGCTTGGCACACACAGCTGTAAAATGGACTATTACAGCATCATTGTATATAGCGCATTCCTTACTTACAATGCTTACGGACTTACATGTATTTAGCCTTTTTGTAACATATATTTCAAGTTTATGTACGTGGATTGGTTATGGTATCTACTAGCTTGGATGTCACTCTGAAGTAGTAGCCAATATGCGCATGCTCATAGGTTTTGTTAAAGAATGAATAAACGTCGGCGTCGCAAAGGCACCGGGTGTGGTTGTCTTTTGAGTAAGTTTTAGTGAGGTGATTTATGGGGTTGCTGGGTTTGCTTAATTTAGCTAAGAATGGTTCTAAAAGAACCATTTAGTGTTTGTTTTGACGAGACCTGCTTTTGTACTCCTTTTCGTCCAGTGAGGTGGGAACAGGCCTTAAGAGCAGGAGTGCCGTCTTCTCTCCCGCTTCCTAGTCCGCCCGAAGAAAGATAATACGTTTGAAATCTTTTTTTATTTTAGGTCAAAAGCTGAGGTCAACGCAACCTTAAAGTAGGGGAGACGCAACCATACTTCGGGGCGAATGAACTTTACTAGGGGGCGACGGAATTTGGGGCAACTGTCAAATCTATTTTGAATTCTCTTTGGCTTCTTGTGATATTTTCCACTCTTTTGATTGGGCTTCAAGGTTACCTTAATTTGCTTACACAAACTTCGATCAATGTGGTACAGTTCCATCCCATCTTCCTTGCCCTTCCCAACAACGACGAAAGAAGACTGGAGACGAGTCAGCCCCAAATTCCAATGACCATATGAGCACATCAGCAGGAGACAGCTAGTCTCGTACCTAGACCTTCCACGGCCAAGCGGTATAATATAAAGGTCCAGTAAAGTTCGATTTCGGTACATTTCAGTTATAGTTAAACGGTAGGATCTGGGTACAAGATTAGGAGATAACTAAATCATTCGTATTATTTATTTCTAATTTTCGTTTAATTAATAAATTTTTTGGTTACACTTGTACTAAAAATCGAGTTTTTCACATTCAGCATCTTCAGCGCTTTTAGCATTTATCACTACTACCGTGTGCATAATTAAGACAGCTTCGTTCCCAGGCCCTCTCTTTCCTTTACAAAAAGAACCTCTCCCGTCCCCAAAGTCCCTCGGTTTCTCGTCCAAAGGTCCAATCGGCTAGAGAAAACCATTGAGCTATGGGAACGAGAATGAGAGAGAGTCTGAAAAAGTAACTGGAATGACCATAAAAGCTTTTCGCACACAACGAACGTGACATTGCGAATGGAACTAGAGCATTTGTTAATCGTAAATAAGTTTTATACGTACTGTAAACATGTGACATTGGACATTATTGAAGCATTTCTTTCAAGCTAAGGGGATTTGGAAATTATTGGACACTAAAACAAAAGAAGATTTTCACAGTCACAGGATAAATCAGGTGCACCATTAAAAAGATAAATAACTTTGCATTGTTCGAACATACATCGAATAAGATCCACAATGGCTGCCACTAAACTAGATCACATTTTCTTAATTTTTTAAAACAGCAAGATTGTTCTTCTATTCGCGGCTAGGTTCTAGATTTGCGTCTAACGTAATTGGTGCTAACAATCAATTCTTGAGGTATGCCACTTTACATAATAAAGCAGAATCATCCTTCCTTTGATTGTGATATTTTTGTTTTCCTTGTTTCGATGAGAAAGTTATTCAATTTGCACAAAGCTACGCTGCGTCAGCTTTAACTGCCATAAAAAAAACAAACAAAACAAAACAAACAAAAAACAATTTGTTCAACGTATCATGAAAATATAATATCTAATCTTAGAACTGATACCTAACACCTTTCCTGATCTTCAACGGGCGCTTATCATCGGAGCTTCTCCACCAGGCAATTCAATCATAGTGAAAAATAATATGACATGAACGATAACATTGACGATAATATTAATTATAATAATAATAATAGTAATAACAATATTTCGAAAAATAGAACAAAACCAAATCACACAGTACAAAACAAACGAACACACCTATAAAAATGTTCTTGGGGACTTTACATCTTTGCTGTTAGCATCATTATTATAATCACCAATAATTTATGTCATGTTAAATCTTGAGAACAGAATTTGAGAAGAAAATATGGAGTGACAGCCAAATTATCCTTATAAATGGACCAGTTTGGCCAGTTGGTTTCAAGCGATGATATTAAATTGTACCACCCTATAATTTGGGTTTGCTTTTGTCATTAGTCTCAGCCTTTTTTAATTTGCCTTTCTTAAAATCGCAGATGGAGCTTAATAATGCGCCTCGTTCTGATGATTTTGGCGGAGGGGCAGCTTTCTGAGTGGGAGGCTGAGAAGAAGGTGGAGGTGGTGGCGCGGGGGCCTGGGGCGGAGGTGGTATGGCTACAAAAAAAGGAGAACAATACCAGAGTTAAGTTGAGTTAAAATTGAATAACAGCAAAAGTTTTCGAATTATGCGAACAACAGCTGTGTTAAGTTAATTTTCCTGGGTATAATATGCTGTAACATTTTCACTAATTGGTAATTCATATAAGGAATTCAAGTTGTTTAGATATTTGAAGAGGGTGAGTTGAGACGAGACGAGACGAGACGAGGCGTGGCACTAGATTTTCTTTGTGAATTTTAGCTTTTTTACGGTCGAGCAGAGAAAACAAACAACAGTAATTCTAATGATCTTTTTGCACCATAACACCTCATTAACGTGTAAACCCGGACCTAAACACAGTGTAAATAAGCTTATCTTAACTACAAAGAAGCTTTTAAACGTACCAGAGGTTTGAGTTCGAGGAGCAGGCGAAGGAGAGGATGGCGGACGTGCTGATCAAGAAATGATTTTCAGTTAGTCTCTAGCACCGCTAATGATTAAGCAGTTATAACGTGGTAACATTTGGCGAATTGCTCAGTAAAAACTGAATAAAAAAAATTGAAATGGCCCTACGCTCTCTCACATCTCCAAGATTTGTTGAAAAAATCCAAAGAAAATTCCAAAATCAGACGGAGCAGGAAAAAAAAGTGGACGGAGCAATCTACATTAGGATGAAACCGTTCAAATTGGACGGAAACGACTGAAATCTGCACGACTGACATGGTGACCTTGCCACTGCGAGCTTGAGGCCAAACTACGTGGATTTAAACACCGAGACCCTCGAGTTCTTCGAAGTGACAGTATTCGGTGAACCGTAGTCAAATTAAAAGTCAAAACGAAATTATTGTGAATTCTTTAGTTATTCAAGATCCATGTAATCTTCACAGAAAGTTGATAAAAGTTTGTTACCTGTTGTCTGTGTTGTGTCCAATAGGGATGCCTCCTTCTGCAACTGCGGGGAAAGGAAATAAACAACGATGGGTAAGGGAGGAGTGGGTGGGGCAAAGTTTTGTGCGGACAAAAAACAAAATAAAACAAGAAACCGATCATGAATAATCCTGTGAAAAGTTGAAAGATGCCATTAAATGCTATAGAAACAAGGGAAAAGGGCGAACTTTGTGGAGCTATGATGATAACAGCAAGATCAATATTGTCAAATCTAGGAGTGACAAGAGAGGAGACGAAGGAGGCAAATGAGGGAGGGGTGCGGTTATGATCGTAGAGACAAGTTTAAGGGCGAGCATGTTAATGTGGCCGAAAGTCAAGACGTTGCCATGGAGATGAAGTGAGAGCAAGGAAAATGACTGAACATTGGAAATTAAATAAAACGTTAGTTCAGCAAGGAAGTGGAGAAATCACGACTGACAAAAAAGACTTTGATGATGAAAATTATACATGTAATGTGATGATTGTGGCGGCGATATCTTTACCTATTTTTTTTTTAAGACGGATGGTTAATACACAGCTATCAAACTCTGTTCTGTTTTTGGTCTAATCTACCTCTGACATTTGAACCCTTTTCACAGATCAGAATATTAAACTGAGTCATAGACTAGCTGGCTCTGTTTAGTTGACTACCTCAAGAATATGTAAACACACAGACTGGCTAGCTTGAAGACTGATTCGTTAACTGGCTGGCTCACTGACGTATCGCTGGCTTTCCTCCTTTGTTTTTAGAATGTCACAGGGCGTTGCGTGACATTTCAAAACCTTCCTAGAAAGAGGGCGACCTGACTCTAAAAAATTTTACATTCTGACATTTATTATCTACACTTAAAATCTATTCACAATGAAAGTATGACGGTAATTTAACACCTGATAGTTCTTGTAAAAATACAGCAACAAAAATAGTATATATTCATATCTGTAACAAAAGGAATATTATCGTCTACTTGTAACTTTTATATTTCCTATTCAACAGATACACCTCAACAATCCTCTACTTTACCTACACTAAACACACAATCTGTATAATGCATTCTGAGCACTATGCTAGCATGCTATTCCTGTAACAAATTATACTAGCACTAATAATAATAATAGTAATAATGATAATAATAAAATGAAAATTAAACACCTTGTGTGCCTACTTTTCATCTCGTTAAAAAAAGGACAACTGGAAACCACCCTTTCCATAGAGCAGGTCGATTAAATTAACAATTAATCAGCTTTTATGATTATGACGAGCATCCATCAATTTATCTAAGCAGTAAATGGAAGAAAGTATAAAAACCCTTTGACTCCCATGATTTGATTGTTAATTCTCCCCTCTAGCTGCTACACATTTCCTTGTGAATCAGTGACAAAAATTCGCTGTTAGATCAAGATAACAGCTTCAACCTGAAAAGTCTGAGTAAGCTAATTACCTGTTTGCTGGATGATGTAGAGATATTAAGGCCTATTTACACGGCACGACTTTGTCGCATGCGACAAGCTTACGACAGGCCTACGACATGACTTAAGAGTCGTAAGCGAGTTGTAGGTTTGATTTACACGAAACAATTCGTGTCGTAAGCCTGTCGTAAGCCTGTCGTAAGCCTGTCGTAAGCCTGTCGTAAGCCTGTCGTAAGCTTGTCGCATGCGACAAAGTCGTACCGTGTAAATAGGCCCTTAGAGGGAGAAATTGCAAGTTAATCACATCTGGGAGTTAGAGAGTTTATTATCTTAAATATAAATATCACAATTTGTTATTTTGAAAAAACGCGGACTGGTTAAGAGACATCAAGATAACACAACAAAAGATCAAGAAATCATCTCCACCTTCTTTGCGGACTTCTTTCTCTTCTTCTTCTCTTCCTCTGACATGTGGTAGGCATGCGCTTTAGATGCTCTCCGGAACTGTCGTAACTGAAGAGAAAAATGAAAGGAAAAT